GATGCAGAGTTGACTTTTTGTATGTATGTGTGTACACAGGATAAAAAGTAAGTCTGGGGTCAAAGACACAGCCCTCATTTTCATTAGTGTAAGTCTCCTCATCTCCCAGACACAAGCAAGCTGAAGGAAGCTGGCGTTTGCACTTTCCAGACACTGAAGCAGGAAGCAAGAGAGGATGGGTAGTGTGCATTTATTATCCCTCCTTTCCTAGTAGGATCTCAAATGGTGATATAGAAAATCACTTAAATATCAAAGCTTTTAAAAAATATTGCTGACACTTTTTGGCTACTACACTGAAAACCTGATAAAATGAGCTTTCTCTGATTTTCCATATTAACTAAAAACATTTATTTTAATCAGGATGGGGTTGGATTTTAGATGAAATTCATCTCTTCCAAGTCCGAGTGGAAACTTAAGATGTTTATTCTAAGAGTGGCAGACCACAGGGTGAATATGGCTCATGAGTGTGTATCTGAACTTTACTGCCAGCCAGAGGGCAGGCTCCCCGTGTCCATCTGTCCTCCTGGGACTTTGTCAAAGGCACGGTCACCTTGATGAATGGAATGTTTTCATTTTCTTATTGTTTTCATGTCATATTCCGAAAATTATTGTTAAGATTTTTCACCCTCAGCCTAATTACAAATCATTTACATCATGTTCAATTGTATTGTTTTAATCCTCACTAGTGAAATTAATTTGAAATGTTGCCACATGTTTACCTCAAATTTGTGGGGAAAGCGTGTGTGCTGGAATAACAACGCAAATGTTGTAGGATTTGGCTTGAATATAAATGATGAGAAGATAACATGTGGTGTATTTATGATTGCATTAGGATTACATGGAGTACTGTTTTGACAGTGTTTGACATGAAGAGGGACATACTGGCTCCGGAATTTGTCAGTGCTAATCAATGGACAGACTTGGCATCCAGGAGGCTCCCTTGCCTTGGTGGCAGCAGGAACCATGGTATCTGGCACCTTGCTGTGACCAGTGGCTGCTGTGTTGGCAGCCTCAATGCCAGCCCTGTCTGTCACCTCCCCCAATGTTGGTAGATCATAGGCTGTTTTCTGCCCTTGAATGCCATTTTTCTGCCATCAGCTTTGGAATTAATGGCTTTATCCTTTTCCAGCTATGAATTCATTATGTTAATCTCAGAAAAAAAGGGAGCCATGCTTTTAAATTCAGATATCAGTGCTTATTTTACTGCCAATGTGTTTTAAAAGTTTGTATAAATGTATTCTTAAATATAAAATCTGTAATAATTTATACAATAGAATGAAAACATGGAGGCTTTGAGACTTCATGTAAAAGTGGTAAAAAATATACTACAAAAATAACATGACTTTTTTTCTATGATGCTAGACATTGTCAGGAAAAAAATGCTTCCCCCCCCCCCCCGAAGATAAATGATGGCAGGAATTTGATGTTACTGAAATTGTAGGAAAATGCAGTGGCATGTGATAGGTATGAAGACATTACTCTGAGAAATGAGAAACAATTTAAGTGTAAGTAGTTAGAGAAGAAAAGACAGTCATGGGGGAAATGGGAAAAAAAATCTCAAGGTAAACAGTTTCCTATGTATGGGTTTTGTAGTGAAGTGGAAGCTTCAGTTCCTTTTTGGAGTGCTTATGTGTAAAGATGGGTGTTCACTGAGCTTGACAACCTACATAATAACTTGAACAATGAAATTGGATAAAATTACAAATATTTCTTTGTCCGTAACCTGCTACTCAGAAGATCCTTAATTTGTTTCACCTGTAAACTTTCCCCCTCTGCACAGGCAAGGTATTAAGCACTGTACCCGGCCATCATTTTCAAATACCCTGTTGTGGCTTGAAATAATGGTCTCTGTGGAAAGTCGGTCTCAGAAGAGTAATTCAGAAATTGATATTCTTTTTAAAATGAGCCAATGTGAGGTTCTTCCCCAGATTAATATCTGATGCTAGCTGTTTAATAAAAGTTTAATTGTTTAAGGCTGATGGGCTATTTGAATAATTAATTGACAAGACTGTAAATTATTATTATGAACAATACTAAGCCCTATGGGAAGGGTATACTAGCTGCTTTTTCAAAGTTCATGCACAGTGATGTTATTGTAATTTTTGTGATTATTTTCTCACTTGTATGCTATAGAGGTCAGCTAACAGAAATTTGTTGATAGTTTTACTAGAAGCTTTTAAATGTGCAAAACTAACTCATCCCTGGTAGAAATATGTGGGATGAGGGAGAAGGCCTCCCCACAGTATTTGGATTATACTTCTCTGGCCTTCAAATTTGCATTGATGTTGCTGATTCAGTTTCAGAGAGAATACATTCTTGTCTTTTCATGTGTAAGTAGCCACACCATTCAGTTGTAAGTCCGATGGCCTTCTTTTGACCAATTTCGTGCTTATAAAAATTTATCTTAGATTTCAAGATATAATATATTGTCCTGAAGCAGGTTTTCCTGGAGAAGACAACAGAATAGCAAAAATAATAACAGCATGCTGGAACTGAACAGTCTTATATGCTTTATCTTTGCTTCTCTAGGGAGTCTCCAATGTATATGGTGATTGTATGTCTCAAATTCATGCAATTTGAGTAGCCTAGATTTGCGTTTCTTTTAATATATTACAAAATGTGGCAATTTACTTTTTGATTTTTTATAGACTTTATTTTTTCAAACAATTTTAGGTTCAGTTAAAATTGAACAGAAAGTACAAAGAGTTCCCATGTAACTCATAGTCCCACATAAATTCATCACCTCCCCAACCATCACTCAGAGAGAGTGCTACTTCTCCTTGGAGAGGAAATAATAGGATGGCACATTTCCTGCAATCACTGAGCTTATGGTGCTACATCACTCTCTCTCCAAGTTGGTAGTCTGCACTAGGGTTCATTCTTGGTGTTGTAAATCTCTTTTTAAAGATATGTTATTGAGGTGTGATTGAGTGTTTGTCACAGGATTGAAGTCTGATCAAGGCCACCAATGCCAGCAACTAGATTCTGAAGAAATAAATATTTGAGGAATAAGTGAATCATTAAAAGTTCTTGATAGAATAAGTTAAAAACATGTGCTTTGTTTTTCTCATTAGGTTGTTTAGATTTATAAGTAAAAGCCAAAATCAAAGACATAGTGTTTTTAAAGTAATGAGAAGAAATTCCTATTCTTTGAATACTATGATAGAATGGTTATTGCTATACACAGAAATAATTCTGATTATTTTTGTTTTTCTTATGAATGAAGAGGATATTTTCTAAAATTAATTCTTGTATTCATGAGTATCTCAGGTATTCTTACATTAATGTAATAAGGGTTTTGGTCATTTGAAAAGACAGGTTACTTGCTTTGCACAGTATTAAATTTTACATATTTTCCTTTTTATAATTTTGTATGTAGAATTAGAAAAATGAAAACTAAATACACTACCCAAATTTAATAAGTAATGTCTTTAACCCCAAAGCTCAATTTTTAACAATATATTTGAGGGAGATATGTCAAAAGAAGAAAAAAAATGTTCAATTATATTTTTTGTGATATTGTTCATAGAAACTGAAATTTTTATCTGAAGGATTTTTTGTTCATTCATCTGGTTTTTTTAAAAAAGCTGAGCAATATTAGAAAGAGCCTGATTATCAGGGTCAGGGTTGTCTCATTTCTTAATCAAAGGAATGGGAGAAGGAATGGGATTCAAGAGGCAGGACTAGGTTTTCCTTGATCAAGTTGGGAAACTGTTAACACTACTAGCTGGAGGATTCCCAAATTAGGAAACCTGCTTATCCTCTAGATAAGTAGGAGTCGAATAAAGTAGCCCACATCTACACAAAACTGCAATAAAGAATGAGACAATAGGAATCTATGCATTTTAGCTGATAAAAACTTCTTAAGGATCAACCATGAAATTAAAAAAAACATAAATAGTACTGTAATATGAATTAATATTCTCATTTATCCTTTGAGGATTTTTCAAGCAAACAAACAAAAACCCACATGGAATTGGACATACAAAAGTTAAGCAGGGAAATGGTCAAAACCAAAATGAAATGAGTTAATTGAACTCTTGAGAATATAGAAGACAAAATCAAATCAGAAATGAAAACTGAATCTTAAGGTGCTCATGGGAAAAACAAATGCAAATAAAAGGTGACCCCACATATTAATATTTATATTGAATCCAAATAGCCTAAAATATCTATTAAAACACAGAGATTGGTAGAATGAATTTTAAAAGATACTTGATCTGGCTATATGCTGTCTGTAAAATGCTCACTTCAAATATAGTAAAATTGGTAGAATAATAGAAAAGGGCTCATAAAAGACACACAATGTAAACACTAATTAAAAAATAATTGGGGTTACTATCCTAACATAAAACAGCAGATACAGAGCAAAAAATTTCCAAGAATGAAGAACAACATTGTTGATAAAGGGGTCTATTCGTAAAAAGACAGCCATCTTAAATGTGAATCCAGTGTACATCAGAGCTTGAAAATGTAAAAAGGAAAGAACTAGAGAACTCAAAGCATAAACTGGTAAGTCCAGCTGGGAACATCAATATTTCTCAGTATCACTATTCAGAAAAGCAGCAAGGATTTAGAGGAACTCAGTAGCATCATGAAACAACAGGATCTAGCTGCATTTATGGGACTCTCCACTAGCATCAGAATACTTATTTCATACACATGGAAAATATGCTAAGGTAAGCCACATCCTTAGTAAACAATCCTAAGTAAAACGCACCTTGAAAATTTTTAAAAATTGATATCAAACCAGCTACATTCTCTGAACATTATAGAACCTAACTAGAGATTAGTAACAAATGGCAGGTGATAAAATTGGTGGGTTTGATCTAAATGAAGACCTTTTTTTTCCATCCCATGATTCTGAATTTTTATGGTTTTGGGCTTGGAACATGGGAAAATAAATACCATTTATCTGACAATTGGCCAATGTGATAATGCAACATATTAGTTGATTCTTAGCCCTGATGAATTGTCTCTCTGCCCTCTTTATTTTACAGCTTCTCTGTTAAAAGGACTAAAACATGCGAACATAGTGCTGCTTCATGACATTATCCATACCAAGGAGACCCTGACCCTGGTCTTCGAATATGTGGTAAGGAAAATAAGAATTCAGTCCTTTAAGATATGAACAACATTCCTATAGTTTTATCATAAGGTTTTATTTTTTCATTGTCATACTGAAGTGGATATTTCATATGAGCATTTGAGACATAATTTTGCATAAAATAGCAGCTCTATAAGATATCTTTGAATACATTAAAAATGTTACCTTAAATATTTGTGTGACATATCAACTATTTATAGTCTATTTGTTACTAGCATACATTGTAATTTTTGTTTATGAAACAGGATTAAACAACAGGAAACTATCACTATCAAAGGAAGTTCAAAGAGGAAGTGTCTTTCTTTTGGCTTATAACTTGGTTTCACAAAAGCATCTTTATGAAGGTTTTAATTTTTTTTTTAAAGAAAGCTTGTTACTTACAATTTATGTTTCAAAGTTTTCCTGCTCAGTTGGAATTTCAACTATTAATTAAGACATCCAATTTGCCTAGCACACAATGTAATGATCTTATTGTGTTGAGAGTATTATTGCTGGAAGACTTGGACTTGAACTCATAATTAATCTTTCTTCATTTCCCTTGGAAAAACATATGGTATTTGTGTAGCACTTCTTCAGCATTTAACTGTGGAATCATGAACGTAACCATGATAATTAACATCCCAATTTTCACAGATGGATCTGAGAACATGTAATTTATAAGATACAAATGACATCAGTGTAGTTTATTGAGAAGAATAGCTATTGGTATTGTGAATATATTAAGATTCCATTTAGTAATTGCCACAATACTTTTTTAAAAAAAAATTGAAATACTTTCCATTTTTCCTGATGAAATGTAAAAGAATGAATATTTGAAACATTTTTATCTTGCTAATGTCTGCCTGTGTCTGTTGTCATTTTAAAATTGTTGTCTTATGAAGAAGCCATTCATCTTGTCTATTTACATATAAATGATAGATACATTTGAATAATATGGTAATGTGGCTACAAGGACAGCTAGAGCTGAGCAGTTGCATATATTACATGCTACCAAGAATGGATGCAGATTCACACATCAATGCAAATATAATTTCTTTTGTTTAATCCATGATTTGGAGTCAATAATGTATTCAGCTGATTTAGACTTGGAACTTTTGATTTATGTTTTCCAGTATGTTTAGTTCACATCTCTCAATGAAATCTAAGTTTTTCTAACTATTCTAACTAACTTTCCACAGAAAAGATACTTTAAAATGTATTTATTACCTCCTTCAAATTGTACACTTAAATTAAAAGGAAAAAAAATAGTTTGGGCATCAAAATCAGTAACATTGATAAAGAAACTGACAGCAGTAATGTGAAAATATGTCCCCCGGATCTTAAAAGAAAACAAAATTTATTTGTGAGGGTAAAAACTGTGCCTGTCAAGTTGAATTTCATTTGGTGATTTTATATTTTGTGAACATGCCAAAATAAGTGAAGAAATTCATTATGTTGCAGTATTTGCTGATTAGGACTGACTTTGAAATGCAATCATTTTTCTTTGAGCAAGATCTTCCCTGGTCCCAATTGTTGTACAGATATCTAAGTCTTCTTAAAACAGCCTCATAATAGCTTGCACTATGCATTGTTCGTCTAGTGTCATTTCATTCCTAACTTCTCTTGTGGAAGTAAGAAATGTTGTTGCTCATTGTTTTAGAAAGTGAGACAAGATAGGCCACTCATGGCTTATGATGCCCCTGCCTCTTCATTTCTCCATTTCCTTCCCTTCCTGTTTCTTGCCTGTTCTTTTTGGCTTCCTTTTCCTACTTTCTTTATCTCTATCCTTTTGCTCCTTCTGGTGAAGCACTGTTGGCTGCTATGCCTGAAATTGGTTAGTTTGATTTTTGTTTATTTTAAGTATTAGATGTTTCAGTGAGTCTCTGAAATCCAATTTTTGTGAAAAGAAGAGCTTTGGTCTCTAGAGGATCTTGAGTTTTGCCAGGCAGGGTAGGGAAGGTGTAGACTCCTCAGCAATATTAGCCTGATTGTGTGGCAGTTGTCTAGAACAAAAATAACTTCCCTGAGTAAGGCCCAACGTTTTTATTTTCTTACTGTTTTCCAATTGATTGTACTTTAGAAATATTTTATGTTTCAAAAAGAATTAAGGTTCTTACATACTTTCATGAATGAATCAGATTGTTCTCCTCACAGTATCCAGCAGAGATAAACTTCACCTTGTCTTCTTCCATGTTTCATAGTGGAAGGTGGAAGTAATTTTGAAACATGAAATGCTTTGGGAATTGGAGCAGATCTCTCTCTCTCTCTCACTTTTTATTTTTTACACTGCTGATTTATTTTATTTTTTCATTTTTTAAAATTTTAATTGTTATATATGACAGCAGGAAACATTACAATTCATATTACACATATAGAGCACAGTTTTTCATATCTCTGGTTGTACACAACATACAGTCACACCATTCGTGTCTTCATACATGTACTTAGGGTAATGATGTCCATCTCATTCCACAGTCTTTCCTACTCCCATGCTCCCTCCCTTCCCTTCCCTTCCCTTTTCCCCTTTGCCCAATCTGGAGTTCATCTAATCTTCCCATGCTCTGACCCCCATGGTGAATCAGCATCCTTCAATCAGAGGAAACATTCAGCATTTGGTTTTTGGGGACTGGCTAACTTCACTTAGCATTATATTCTCCAACTCCATCCATTTACCTGCAAATGGTGCTGTAAAAACTGGAAACCCATATGCAACAAAATGAAATTAAACCCCTATCTCTCACCGTGTAGAAAACTCAACTCAAAGTGGATTAAGGATCTAGGAATTAAACCAGAGATACTGCATCTATTAGAAGAAAAAGTAGGCCCAAAGCTCCATCATGTTGGATTAGGCCGCAACTTCCTTAATAAGACTCCTATAGTGCAAGAATTAATATCAAGAATCAAAAATTGGGATGGATTCAAACTAAAAAGCATCTTCTCAGCAAAATAATCAATCAGTGAGGTGAATAGAGAGCCTACAATTTGGGAACAAATTTTTGCCACTTGCACATTGGATAGAGCACTAATCACTAGGATATATAAAGAACTCAAAAATCTTAACACCAAAAAAAAAAAAACCCACAAATAACCCAATCAATAAATGGAGCAGATCTTAGTAGGGAGAGTGGGGTGGTGGTGAGGCACTGTGGTATTGAGATGATGGGTGGGAGAGAAAGAATAGGGTGGAGTGAATTAATGTTTGGGAGGGTGACCACCGAACTGAAGAAAGTCAACAACTGTGATTTATTGGATTTTGTGCAGGGGCACTGGGCTGAGGGCTTTTTTTCATGATGACACATGGTGTTTTTCCACAGCACATGGAGCTACGACTGTCACCAATTTATGAAGGAGAAACCTAAGGGTTAAGAGAGTCTTACAGTGTATAAGCAAGATAGACCTGGGCTATTCTTAATTTGAATCCTAATTGGAATATATTTCCTATTGATTTTTATAGGTTAAATTAGAGGAGCCCTGAGTCACAAGAGGGAAAGAAAGCTTTCTCTTCTTTCCACAGCCTTCCCTTACTCTGCGTTACTCTGCATAATCCCACTGGCTTAGGAGGCTGAGACAGGAGGATCATGAGTGGGTGCTAAGCAACTCAGTGAGACCCTGTCTGTAAATAAAATACAAAGTAGAGCTTGGGGATGTGGTTCAGTGATTGAGTGCCCCTGAGTTCAATCCCCATTACCAAATAACAAAACAAAGTAAAACAAACAAACAAACAAAAAAACAAGTTAAACTTCTTTACAGTAAAGACAAGGCTTGCCACCGGGTCAAAAACCCAACCATTTAAACTTTTATTTCAATTGCAAAATGTGTTTTAAATTTCCATAAAGCGAATTTCCAAGTTACTGTATTGCCCCATAGGGGTGTACTTAAATATGTATACATACATGTAAAAATAGAACTTTATAGCAAGTTCTAAAATCAGTATCCACTATTTCAATCTAAAATCTTGCAAATTTAATGGTGCTATTACCGTATTCTAAAGTTGTTAAAATAAAATATTATTTGCTAATATTTACAAATGAAAATAACATCAAAATATTATTTTCTAAGTAATGTTGATTTTGTAGTTCCACATAATTCATATCACCTCTTTTTGAAGATAACAGGAGGGAAGATAACAACTAAAACAGTGTAGGAAAAATCAATACCTTGTGCCCATTAAACCCCAAATGTGAAGGGAGAGCAAAATATTATAAGAACTATTAAGCACAATGGAATTTTCCTTTTGGCTTCAGAATTAATTAAGTTTTCAAGGGCTTTCTGAGATACCTGTGCAATATGAGACTCACCAAGTGAAGGATTCTTATTTATGATAATGTACACACAGTATAAATACACTTCTGTTCTTTGCTTTAAAAGAGAATTCAAATACTAGCTCTTTTATGTTATTTCCACGAATGACATTTTAGGTTTTATAAAAGCCTTCTGAGAATCGGAATAATGAAATAAGTAATGAAAAGTTAGTGATGTGGAAGAATACTCAAGGAAATGACTTCAGAGGTCATTATTAAAGTGATTCAGAGGATATTGTAGGCTCTCTCTTAAGTGCTGTGAAAAGTTTCTGAAACACCCAGACATTTAGGTTCTTACACATTCTACAGTGTGTAGATATAACAATCTGTAGGCTTCAAGGTTGGGGACATGGTGGGCAGTGTGCCCCCAGGTTGCTCACATCTCTTGGGAGAGAAATCCAGAATATAGCTGAGAATTATTGACTGTAGAATATATTTTCCTGTAAAGTGTTAACAATTTCTCCCACTATTTAAACAGATTTAGTTTGTGTGCATATTTACATACACACAAATGTGTGCCTATGTATAATATGGTTAAATATATAATATATGAAGTTTTTATGGATATATATAAGTTTTTTTTTCCTCAAAGACAAATGAGTGCCGCATTATCCTCTTTAATGCCAGGCTGAAAACTTTGAGACTGATTCCTTATGTGGAAATGAGAATATTAATAGTAAGCATGATTATGTAAATATGTTGCCATTA